GGAAAGTTTGTAGTTATTGGTTTGGACAGGCTCTAATGTGTGACTCTGGGACTGTGCGCATGAGGTGGGTGGAGGGTAAGAAGCTTAAGAAAATGATAAGCTGGGTGTTGGATGAATCCTTTTTGTGAATAATGCAGTTACCAAGAGTGATGACAAAAATGGTAAAAAGAAAGAATGTTGCAGACCTAGAATGAATGAGGGGGAAGTTGGCAGACTACAAAGAGCAGATGACCATCGGCAGGAAAACACCGATAAAGCTTAATGGCAGGAATTTCACAAAAGCTGCAGATTTTTATGAGGGAGGAATATGGGCAGTGTCTGAGTTAAAAACATCTGACTTGGCTCGGCACCTGTGGCTCAAGTGGCTAAGGCACCAGCCACATACACCTGAGCTGGTGGGTTTGAATCCAGCCTGGACACACCAAAGAACAATGACAGCAGCAACCAAAAAAAAAAAAAATAGCTGGGCATTGTGGCAGGCCCCTGTAGTCCCAGCTACTTGGGAGGTGGAGGCAGGAGAATCACTTGAGTCCAGGAGTTGGAGGTTGCTGTGAGCTGTGATGCCATGGCACTCTACCCAGGGCCACAGCTTGAGGTTCTGTCTCAAAAACAAAAAAAAACACAAGAAAACCAAAAAGAAACCCCCCAAAAACATCTGACTGACCTACGACTTGCACTTACAAATGGGGACTTTTACAGATAATTGGTGAATGTGCTTGTTCCAACTTACATACAAATTCAACTTAAGAACAAACCTACAGAACCCATCCTGTTCATAACTCAGGGATTGCCTGTAATGGTCTGCAATTTGCAAAGGGAAGCAAGAGTTCACCTTTGAGCAAAAGCTCGTGCTTTTGGCATATATGACTGATACAATTAGGATTCAAACTAGTTCTGGGCAATTTCTAATCACTTCCATTATACCACCTCAGGAATTCTCGTGGGCTCAAGTGACTCTCTTGCTTCAGCTCCTGAGTACTTGAGCCTACAGGCATCCACAACAATGTCTGACTAGTTTTCCTATTTTTAATAGAGATCGGGTCTTGCTCTTGCCAAGGCTGGTCTTGAACTTCTAAGCTCAAGCAATTCTCCTGCCTTAGCCAACCAGAGTGCTAGGATGACAGGTGTGAGCCACCACCATGCCCAGCCTTAGTAAATCTTTTTCTCATTACTTTAGTTGGAGGAAGGGATGAGGTAAGCGGAATGTTGCCAATTGCCCAATATTGTTAATTATGAAATAGTAAATGTTTCTGTATTGATGGCGGTGCCCATAGCTCAGTGGGTAGGGAGCTGGCCACATACACCAAAGGCTGGTGGGTTCAAACCCAGCCTGGGCCAACTAAACAACAATGACAACTGCAACAACAACAACAAAATAGCCAGGTGTTGTGGCTGGCGCCTGTTGTCCCAGCTACTAAGCAAGAGAATCGCTTAAACCCAGGAGTTTGAGGTTAAGGTTGCTGTGAGCAGTGATGCCGTAGCACTCTACCCAGGGCAACATAGTGAGACTCTGTCTCAAAAAGAAAAAAAAAAATTGCTGTATTAAGAACATGCTATCTTTGATTCTCAGGGCAGTGGTAGTGTGGTCTGCTTTAGGCTCAAGGACTGTTTACTCAATACTGACAGAGCTACATAGGTTAGGTACACATCAGAGGATCCCTGTGAGGCAGATTATGGAGAGAGAACTGGGCAAATGCCAGAGTTCAACTTGCCCTTGGTTCCACTAAGCGCATAATGGCCAACTGAGCACCTGTGAGACAGAAATGCACTCCCAATCGACTAGAAAATAACCATAACACACGGAAACACTTCTGTTACTGTTAAACCCAGCCCTCTGCCTCAACCTGCCTGCTTTCCCCTCCTTCTCCCAGATTGAGTCAAACCATCCCTAGTTCGTTTGGCTCCCTGCCTTACGGAAGCTCTATCACCCCATAGTTGTTCTATCTTTGGAGACTGGGCCAACACACATAGTTGTTCATTTGTGGGGCATCCAAATGATTTCCAAGTCACTGAGAAACAAGTACAAACAGTGAACAATGTATTCCCACCCCCTAACTTTCATGGGAATCTGTTGATTAGAAAGATATGAAAACTGAGATAAGTGAAGAAATAAGGCATAAATTGTTCAAAAAGAATTTACAAGTTATAGCTTATGTTCATATCTTGTCATTGTCTTATGTATACCATGTATAATGGGAGTTCTATGGGCACTGTCTCCTTAGAGTTTACAAACTTACAAAACTTTCTTTGGATGTGTACTACACATCAAAAGAAGTGGGATTTACATTCTTAAAGCCTTTAAGTAGTGTCACATGGCCATGACTACTTTGTTAATGTCTGCTGTGATCCCAAATACGATAAAGCAGATAGAACATCCTCAACTTTAGAGTAGCATTAGGTTCAGAGGTGGTGAGCTGCATCAGACTTAGTTCTGAATAATGCCTAGACCCATGTATTGTAAATTGGTAATGTGTTTTATAACTATTGAACAAGTTGGTAAGTTGAATTAAGATGAAGTTCAGTCTAGACCTTTAAGGTCTTATTTTTCTCTTACTTAGGGTGTTCTCAACAACTATGTTAACTACAAAGAAAAATGATTTTGCAACCGAATTGGAATGGAAACAATTTCTGAGATAGAGATCAAAATTGTGTTTATAGAACCCTTATTGGCAGCGTTGCTATCAGTCATTTCCTGTGGGAATATTTCACTGGGATATAATTTTATGCCTTGACTGTTTATAAAATAGCCTTGGGTCCATGAAATCAAACACTGTAGGACTATAAATATTAATATATGCAAAGTAGTGTAACATTTCATAGTATTTTCCTAGATAAGAATTAAGATTATTTAGCAAACTATGTTTCTCATTCATCACTGAAAAAATTCCAAAACAACATTAGCATATGGTCTAATGAAGAGTTAGGCAATAGATAAAATGTTAATGCCATTTCCCGCCCCAAATTAAAGTTGATATTAAAAAATATTTATCACGTGTCGTATATAAGATGTTTTACTGTGTGGAGAATATGCAGGCCAATTATAAATAGTCCCTGCCCTTGGGGAGCTGATACATTTTTTTGTAAGTGGGATAGGGGCATCTATACAAATGTACTGTATAAAATAACAAATAAATTATGAGTGGGTAGGAATAAAGTATTATTGGAGTTTAAAAGAACTTGAGATCAGGTCCATCAGGGAGATCAGAGGTGATTTCATACAGAAAAAAACAGCTGAGAAAAGTTTTAAGGAATGTGTAAGATTTCTACAGATGCAGGTACAATTTTTCTACAAGGCAGAGAGACTGGGTATCCCCGCAAGGCAGTATCAAAGCACATTTAAAGACTGGAGCATTTGATGCAAGTAACAACAAAACAACTGACATAGGAAAATACGCTGTGTTGGAACTAAGGTAAATTATTTTCTTTTATTCAGTAATGCAAACATTTATTCACCAAATATTTCCTGAGTACTTCGGTACCTACCATATGCAGGTACTGTGTGTGGTGTTAGTACATTTATGAGTAACTCAAAGGTTCTTTCTAAAATGTAAACACTAAAACATGTAACTTTGAAATCAGAGATAATGGCAAAACTTATTCTTATCAATCCCTGGTTGGTCAAGGAATTTGTGGCAAGAAGAGGTACTTAGTTTACAGCTGCTGCCTGGCACAGTATTTAATGTTTTGGAAACAGAGTTGGTATTTCCAGATGACATTGTTTCTCAATTTCAATTCACCTACTTCTCAGTCCACTGCTTCAACTAGTATGAAGTGTTCATTTTTCATATTAAAGCTGCCAGCCTGTATTTTTATATGGTAGTTTTGTAGACTGGATGATGAAGGCCACTATGATATTTATGGATCCACTGAACAAGTTTTGGTTGATGTTAAGAATCAGTTTTGTTGGCTCGGCGCCTGTGGCTTAAGCGGCTGGGGCGCCAGCCACATACACCTAAGGTGGCGGGTTCGAATCCCCAGCCCGGGCCCGCCAAACAACAATGATGGCTGCAACCAAAAAATGGCCAGGCGTTGTGGCGGGCGCCTGTAGTCCCAGCTACTTGGAAGGCGGAGGCAGGAGACTCGCTTGAGCCCAGGAGTTGGAGGTTGCTGTGAGCATGATGCCATGGCACTCTACCCAGGGGGATAGCTTGAGGCTTCGTCTCAAAAAAAAAAAAAATAGAATCAATTTTGTTGATTCTTAACATCAACAAAACATGAATGGGGTGGGGGGAGGAAAAGTAAGACTTCAGGGAGACGCACCAGCGCTTTTTATTTTGGATCAAAGCATTCGTCCTTATTGGAAAGGAATCGCTGCAAATTTCCTTTACGTAGCTAGCTCTCTGTGCAATGAACATGACCGAAATATTGTAGAACACAAGCGCTGAGATACACCTGTACTCAGACTTCGTCCGTCAGAACAATCTGTTTTCTCTCAAGCTAGGACTTGCTATACCGTAGACAAGTCTCGAGCAGCGGTGGCAATGGGGAGGAGGGGTGGCGAAGGTGCTGCGCTGACAGCCAGGAGGGCACTTTCTCTATGCCGGCTCCTTAACCAAACTTCGCAGCCGCCAGCCCCGATTCACTTTCCCGCTCATTCTTTCCCCGCTGCCCCTCGCGCCGAGCGCTCCACCCGGCTCTCGTCTGTCCCCTGGGCTGACCCGCCGCCCACCGCCTTCCCTCCCTCCCAGCCGTCCTCCTCCACCTGCGCCGCGCGCCCACCCGGGCTGGCTGGCCGGCGGGCGGGCGGGCGGCCGGGAGCCCGCGGCGGCCCGGGCTGCGGGGCATGCGCGCTGCGGCGCCACCGCCCTCCCCCACGCCTTCCCGCGGCTGAGCTATGCCAAGTATGTGAGGAGCCGGCGAGGGCCAGCGCCGGTCATGGGGAGCCGCCGCCGCCGCCGCCGCCTCCGCGGGTCTCTCCGCCGCCGGGCTCCGACCTCTCCCCGAGGCGGGGGCGAGCCTAGTTGCTGAGGCGGAGGGGATGGCGGACCCTCTGAGGAGGACGCTGTCCAGGCTCCGAGGAAGGCGGGGTCCCCGCGGCGCCGGGGGGCTCGGGCTCCGGACGGCTGCCGCAGCTACGGTGGCGACCTCCTCAGTGGCCGCGGGAGACGCCTGGGGTGGTCCGGACTGCCCCGGACGCGAGCGCACCGGGGAAGCCGGACCGAGGCCGACGCAGCCCCCGCCGTCACCTGGGGCGTGGAGCCCCGCAGCGCGGGGTTCCGGAGGCCGCCCGGGGCAGTCAGGGGCGCTCGGGCCTCGGCCGCGCGGCGGGCAGAAGGCCGCCCCCGGGGGTCACGGGCGGGTTCGCGCCTCTCTGCACGCCGCTCGGAGCTCCCGGGAGGAGGAGGAGGACGCCGAGGACCCCGACGCCGACTACTACGAGAACCTCCCCGGCAGCTCTCCGCCCGAGCCCTCACCCGAGGGGGCGGAGGCGCTGGAGCGGCCCCCGCCTCTCCCCGCGGCGGGCTCCTCCCCGGGGGCGGAGGGCGGCCGCCTGGAGACGGGCAGGCTGCGGACCCAGTTGCGAGAGGCCTATTATCTGCTGATCCAGGCCATGCACGACCTGCCCCCTGACTCCAGCGTGCGGCGGGGTGGTGGGGGCTTGGCCGAGCACGGCTGCCCGGCGGGAGTCTGGGCTTCGGGCCAGCCGTCTCACCCCGGCGGCGCTGCGGACCGCCAAGCCTGCCCTGGAGACTGGGAGTGGGGAGGCGGCGACCGCCCGAGGCGGCAGGTGTCCCCGCCCCGTTCCCCTCGGAGGGAGTCGGAGGCAGGCCGTCTGGGGACTTCTCGGATGCGTCTGCAGTGCAGTCGAAGCCTCGACAGCCTCCGAGTGGATGCCAAGCCGCCTCCCTTCCAGCGGTGGCCGAGCGACAGCTGGATCAGGTGTGGCGCGCGCCAGGACTGGGACGAACCCCCGCCACGTGGAGGCGGGATGGACCGCTGGCGCGGGGGCAGCGCCCGGGCTGTGGCGCCCGCTGGCCTTCTGCCTCCGGGCTCCAAGGGCCGCGGCCGCTCCTCGGGATCCCCTTTTGGGGATCCAGCGGGGTCCTCTGTCTTACGCTGCGGCAAAGGTGACCGCCAGGAGGGGCCCCTCAAGCCTCCTGCAGTGACAGTCAAGAAACTGCAGAAGTGGATGTACAAAGGCCGCCTGCTGTCCCTAGGAATGAAGGGTAGTGGCCGTGGGACATCCCCCAAAGTCACCGGAGCGCAGGCTTCCTCCCCACATCTGGGCGCTCTGAAAGTACATGAAAACCGAGTCCTCTCTGTGCCACCAGACCAGAGAATTACGTTCACAGGTAGGATATACTGTGCGATCGGAGTGCTAACACGGGAGCCGTGGTGTTTACCAACTGGCTTCTGACTTAAGAGCCAAGAATGAGATAGTTTTACAGACAGGTACCTTGTCTATGCCCAAGTGTCATGCGGAGTGGCGGCTTAACGCGATTTCAAGGTTACTTAGTATAGAGCTTTTACTTGTCTTGCTTTTCTTTAAGACAATGGCATGAAGAATGGGTTTTTTTTGTTTTCTTAAGAGTCGGTGTGCCTCCACCCTAAGTACAGGGAGTAAAGGTTACATTCACCACACACTTGTAGTAGGTTTAGGGATGAGCAATGCTGCCTTAATTTTTATTCTCTGTAGACTTTTGTGAAGTTTGTGAATTTAAATTTGAACCAAGGTAGATTTTATAGGCTTTGAAAAAGTTTTACTCATTAAAAATGTTTTACTCATTATAACTTCTTTTCTTTCTTAGGCACGTGCACGTGTAGACGCACAACCAACCAACCCCCTCCTCCAAAGTACCTACCATAAGTAAAATATCTGTTTAGTCAAGATTTTCTTTACTCCTTTTCTCCACCTGCCCCCCCCCCATCCAACAAAGTCAGTGATCTTTTTATTGTGGGAAATCAAGAACATAGTATTTTAATCAAAAGAAAAAAGCTTTTTAAAAAAGGAGTGCAGACATTTAAAGTCATTTGTAAGTGTAAAGAAACCCTATTTATGTCCAGTCACTGGACAGTGGGTCCAGTAAAGCCAAGCTTGGGGCTATTATATTTATATTAGTTTTTAAAAAGATCTATTTGTCCTTTTTAGATATGTGCATGATTTTTAATTATCATTGTAGGTTTAGGTTATCCTTTCTAGGAATCTCTTAATTGTGCTGTAAATATAAAAAAGTTCCTCCTGAAATGATATAATACCTTCAAAGTGAGCCAAAACAACATGGTCTGTGAACTACACCCTTCCATACAAAGAATTTTTAGTGATCATAAAGACTTAAATGTCAGTTATTTTAAAAACATAAATGCTGAAATGTAAAAGGTATTCACAGTACTTGGCACTTTCTCTAGTAAGAAATACAAATCCTGCAAGGCTGGATTTATACACATTAACTTTGTTTAACCAATAAACAACATTGGGGAGAAATAAAGTACACAAAACTTCGAATCAAACAATGAGGATAAATAAATGATTCATTTATAGTGTGTGCCAACTTGGAAAGTTCTTTTGATTTACAAATCTCTAAATACATACCTGTTGAATTTTATCCTCAAGTTTAAGTATTACATTTCTCTTGAACTACAGGATAGAAGGTAAATTCTTTATGAAGAAAGGTGTACTAAGTTAATATTAAACACATGCGTTTCCAGGAGTCAAGTATTTGGGATCAGTTGTTGTATTTTATTGCCACAGTATCTTTACCTCCCCTGATTTGGGTTCAGTTAACACTTTGCATGATAGTTGAACTTCTGCTGTAATGAAAATCTGTTTAATAGTCAAATATTGTTTACCCTTTTGTGCAGAGGTAAAACATTTACCATCTGATGGCATTTAATGCCCTCGAGAGTAAACATTCAAGAATTTAAAAAGTAGTAAGTGTAGTTCTTTTAAGAATGAATTTGTTGATTTTTCCATGAAGAAATGAATTGAATGAAACTAAGTTTAAAAGAAATTAAAATGAAACAGAATTACTAAATGATAGTATTTTAGATATTTTATAAGAAATCTTGGTTCGGCGCCTGTGGCTCAGGTGGCTGAGGCGCCAGCCACATACACCTGAGGTGGCGGGTTCGAATGCAGCCCAGCCTCCAAACAACAATGAGGGCTGCAACCAAAAAAAAATAGCCGGGCGTTGTGTCTGGCGCCTGTGATCCCAGCTACTTGGGAGGCAGAGGCAGGAGACTCGCTTGAGCCCAGGGGTTGGAGGTTGCTGTGATCTGTGATACCATAGCACTCTACCCAGGGGGACAGCTTGAGGCTGTGTCTCAAAAAAAAAAAAAAGAAATCTCAGCGAAAGCCATTGTAATCTCTGGTTTAAACAACTTTCTCAGATACTACTTCCTTTCAGAATACTAATTCATCTTTAGGAAAGATGAAAAGAATTTGTGTAATGTTAACATCTCTTGTATAGATTTAGAGAGTTTTTGAGTTAGTTGGTCTTCTTAAGACCATTTTGGATACTTTGATTCTCTCATAACTTTATTATTGCCCCCACCCCTATCCCCACTCCATAGGACAGCTATTATTTAACAGCAGAAGGTACAGAGGGGTTAAGTTGTTTCTCCAAGGTCACTCAGCTGTATATGGATTTAAACTCATATGTGTATTCAACAAACTCAGGTCTTCATGATTCCTAAGGTTCTATTTATGTAAGGTAACAGAGACTCTAAAGTTCTTGAGATTTGATGTAATTAATTCTATTAAGGTGCTTGAATTGAGATAGATGGAATTTCAACAAGGTTTAGAGGGGTAAGTAACTTGTGCAGAATTGCAAAGAAGAGGGGAAAGCTTAGAATAGGTTTTAAAACATTTTTAAAGTAAGCCCTGTATCCATTTTAAACTTCTGTCTTTAAATATTTACTTCAGATTGATGTTATTAGGCTTCTACTTTTAAGTTACATTTTCTAAAAAGTTACTGGAACCGTCTAAATAAAGCAGTACATTCTTGTTTGATAAAGATATTCACGTTTGGATCACATTTTTCTGTGCAGTATTATTCATGATGAAGTTTTTTTCAAAATAAAATTATATTTAGAATTTATGGGATAACTAATGGGACAGAGATACCTAACTTGAAAAGTCTTAAGACTATGACAGAACCCAAATGATTTTTTATTCTGATTAACTTTTGATGATATTATTACTATAATGCCAACAACTTGATGCAGTTACAGTATTTACAGATTGGCTAATTTGTTCTTGAGATGATTATTTAAGAAATTTAAAGTCATTACACACACTAAATGTTGTCAAGTTTCTACAAGCCTTAAGATTAGGAAGGAATCTTAATTTATTTGCCAACTATACTTCATTATAAGTCTTTATAAATACGTTTTAATTATCATATAGTTCAGAGAAATATATTCAAAGCACCAGGTTGAGCCATTCCAGCCTTTTATTGGTTTAAAAAATAATTAGCCTGCTTTGACTCCAGTTTTTCTGATGCATGATCTCTGAAAGAAAAAATTTAGGCTGTATAACTTTATAATATTTAGTTTGTGTGACTTAATATTTAGGTTGTATAACTTAGTAATATTTTGTCTAAATTTTTTGGACATTTCTTTTTAAGGTGGTAATAATTATAGCTGGTATGATCTTTAACCATCTTAAAGTGAAGTCAACACTCCCATCTATTTTTTTCTTGTGCAAGTATTTGTAGCTCCAATTTCTCATTTTTATGAGTTACCTAATCTTTATGCATTTTCCCAGCTAGTTCTTTCTGCACTGGCCTCTTCTGGATTAGTAGCAATAGGTATATAGTATTTGATTGTCTTCTGGCTTTAAATTGCTCTTGGGGAGATCCTGCCACTGTGGCACTAGAAGCAAGTGCAGTTGCTTTTTTATGTTTTGGAAGAGTGCCATGGAACATTGGAGTTGCTAGTGGCTGGAAAACTTAGAGAATTATAAATTCAGCAGAAAACAGTGTTGTTAATTTGAAAGGCCTACATTTCTAGATTAATGATTTCTAAGAGATGCCTGGTGTTTACTTTTTGATAATCACAAAGACTATTTTCTAGACCTTTCCCGTTCAAAGTGTGGTTCACTGTTTTGGAGCAGTGTTTTTCAAATTTAATGTGCATATGAATTCCCTGGAATTCTTGTTAAAATGTGGATTTAATGAGTATGGGGTAGGACCTGAGATTATGCATTTTATTCAACTCCTAGTATAGATGGTCCCATTTGGTGGACCATACTTTTGAGTAGTGAAGGTCCAGAGTTCTCAGGGCCCTAAAGTTTTGAAAAAGCATTTCTACCTTATTCTGATACTTGGTACTCCAGCTGACATATACTCTATGAGAACGATACTCCAGCTAACTTCCATTAGAACAAAGTACTTGAGCTCTTCTTGTTTCACATGTGTGATTTCATACTCATTGGTCATACATGTTGAGTTCCAGTAGTTCCCTCCACATTGACACATCTTGCACCAATAAATAACGGTGAGATTTTGTAATCTGAAGAGAGGAGGTCATGTAGTATAATGGTTAACAGAATAGAGATTCTCAGTTTCTAGTGAGATACCACCACTTACAGACTCGTGACCTTGTTTGTTTTTTTTTTTTT